GCGGTGGGAGCCTCCCCCGGCTTGTGCTTGCCCGGGCTGAGGGAGAGGGGTCAAGGACCCTCTTTCTCCAGCGGTTCGCCGCTTAAATTAGTAATGTCTTCACGGTTTGTCTTCCAGGTTACAGTCGTTTCCATTAACCCTTTGGTGTTTACCCCACGATCGACATCTTCCTCACAGCCAAACACGGCTTTTGGGCCTGTACTGTTCAGTGAAGGTAAAGAAGCCCAACCCAGCCTCTTACGTACAGTTGTTTATCAAAGTCAGCATCGGTTAACAACAGAAAGATTGGATTAGGCTAAACAAAGAGTCCTGCTGCTGGTGAAGGGCTGTGTGACGGGCTTGTCTGCAAAAAGAGATTTCTGTGGAACTGGGAATCCTGAACCAAAAGTGAGGTGCCAGAAAGGATGGGGAATTTGTGGGAAGAAAATGATGAAAGGATGTTTTATTCCACTTCTCATCTTTTTTATATTGTCACCCCAGGAGTGTGTCTACCCCAGATAGATGGGAAGGCCGTTTACAGTGGTGACTCATTGCAGTCATGGTGGAATTTGGGATTTCAGGCCCTACTGTGGCACTGTTAGGTCTGTGCCGTGCTGCTCCAAGGAGAAAGCCAGAGCACGTGGCCCAGACAACACTAAAAAATTAGTCTCTGTAATGCAGGTGAATCCTGGGACAGTGAGAGAAATCATAGTTGTACCATTAAATGTATAAAACAAACAAAAAACCCCCCAAACCAACCCCACACCCCTTAATTCTCTGGGTACCAGCTCTCAACAATTTATGGACTTCATATGAAGCTGTGTGCTTTTGATGGGTCTTGAGTCGTCTTCCTAAATGTTCTTGTTACTGTGTTTCTTGGCAGCTTTTTGAACTATTTTTGTATTGCGTCCTTAGAAAAAAGGTTCTCATGTCACCTTCAGAGACTTTACAGTGATGGTGTTCTCGTGTCACCTTCAGAGACTTTACAGTGATGGTGTTTTAGCGCCACGTATTATTGGCAGACTTAGCTTCAGTCCATTAATGCATCAGAAAGATGTAGCGTATTCTGTCATAAATAATCCATAATCAGGCTATTCCCTTCATGTTACTGATGTATTCCAGCTGACAGACTCATGGTCACTTTGTACAAGCTAATTTAATCATTAAATCATATTGGTTTTTCCATTTGTTAAGACTCGAATGAGGTTTGAATTGGTAGACAGGGTGGTTTTAGCAAAGACCTGGCAGATATTGTCATTTTTTAAAGTACGGTTACTGTTCACGGATGTTCTTCAAGTTCATTAAGTCTCAGTGAATACAGAGACTAAACAGTTTTAATAGTTTCCTAGAAGGCTAGTAATTTGCTCTTGTAAAACTTGCACTGGTATGTTAGTCTGATTGATGTGTCTTTCATGGCCATTGTGATACCTTTCTGTGTTTACTGGGGGGGTTTTATTCCTTTTCCTTTGCTTCAGGTTGAAGAGATGGGAAATGCAGAAAGCAATGCCTATCAGAATCACCTCTGCAGATTTCTTCCTGAGGAGCAGTCTGACATTGATGGAGTATTTGATACCTTATCAGGATTGAGCAGCTCAGCTGGAGCAAAAAATGGCAAAGCTACAAAGAAAACTGTGACTCTGGCAGCACTACAGGCAAGACAATCTATTATTCCTGATATATCTGGGATGTAGTGCATTGAATGTAATTCCAGAAAGAAACCAAAGATGTGGCAACAGTTGCTTTTTAAGGATTGCTCATCTCGATTTAATACTTAATGTTTTGGGGCAGGATGGATATTTAACTTTTTCTTACAGTTTAACATGAGTGGTGACTTTCAGGTTTGTATTTCTCTCTTAAATTGCACTGCTGGGTCAATTTGCAGCTTTCCTGATTCTGAAGTAAGTTGGGACATATGAAAATATTTTACAGAAACCTGAAAAATGGGAAGAATATTCTTACCCCCAGAGTCTATAGTGTGTGATTATTTACAGATTTTCTTGAGAAGCTGTCACAAAGTCAGTTTGTATGTGGTTATATCTTTCTCCCTCAATTGTGTCACCATCTCTAATCTTTTCACTTGCATTAAAAAAGGGAGAATTCAGTTTTGCTTGATTAAGCTGTGGCTCCCTGTTTTAGCTAATTAACATACATTATGCTTTCTGATTAACTTTGCATTAATTTTCTAATCAAGAAAGAACAGGAAAATGATTCGCTGCAATACTTGATAACTTCAGTTAGGCAGGAACCAAGTGGCCAAATGAACGTAGTAGTAAAAGTACGTTTTTATATATGTTACACAGTTAGTGGAATCAAATTAAAACTCGATGAAAGAAGCAGGTTGTTTTAAGGTATTTACAAATGCATCTGGGTACAGACCAGCTTTAGCCTTCCTGCAGCCTGGCTGTTTATGAGCTATCACCAGTTTGGAAACAGTGTTGCTGCTGCCCGGCTTTTTTAGCCCTGATAACGTCCAAGAACCTGGTCCTTGGTGTCTGTTATTTGATTGGGACCTGGAAGAAGTTCTCTTTCTAGCTTTGCCCCTAGATCAATGTGACGTTTGATGAACGTTTGTATTTTCCCTTCCTGCCTTTTTGTTTGCCAACTTAAATTAAAATCTTTTGACAGACTGCCTGTAGGTGCCTAATTCCTTAGTGCGGGGACTATTGCAATGGCATGCCTGCCTCGTAGGTGTCCATGCTCATGCCTGAGCTAGATTGATAACATGGCAGATTTGATCTAGCAACAGACTGGTAACAGTCTGTTGTTGACGGGGCCCCAGGCATGACCTCATGTACTCTGCTTAGACTCTCAGTGCTTTACTAGGAGGAAACTACATGGCTTCTGGACCAGAGCAGGCTGCACTGCATAGCTTGGAAAGCAGGTAGAGCAGCTATCTCTAGATACTTTCTTGAAGCTATTTGAGACCAGGATTCTAAACTGTCAGAGGTGTGAGTCTGTTAGATGTTTATTAAAGATTCCCTTTTTACAGTCCTCCTTTTCTGCACCCCAGGTCTACTCATTGGAATAGCTATAAGCATAACAAAACAGTGCAACGAAGTTAGTGGTGGGTGGGAAAGGGTAGGTAGGTAATACTGCAGTGTGAAGTAAAAAGCCCTTGAGTATAGTGCTTTTAATTATGTTCCCTGCTGCTTGTCTCACTTCAGGCTCATGCAGCACTTTTAGAAAGCCTCTTAAAGACAGCTGTACCCCCTGTGACCGTCCCTGCCTCAATATGAAGCACTCTAATGTGCAAGACTGTGGCTGCTAATTCTGCTTCTACTGAAATCAATGGGAGTTTTACCACTGATGTCAACAAAAGCAGGGTAGAGCTTGGCATATTGGATCTCGCCCTATATGCTCAGCAACAGCCATTAACATCAAATAGGAACGGCCCTGGTGGCTTCAATAGGAGCGGTATTGAGATTGAGCCAGCAATAGATTGGTAATAGCAGCTCCACTGAATAGAGCTGGAGTGCTTTTACGCAGTTGGAGCTCCATTGATTTCAGCATAGTCCCCACTGGGCTACACCCCTGTATATGAGAGTCAAGTCAGGTGTTCAGCATGTTATGCACAGTGCTTTGCACAGTCAGGACACTGTGTAATCATGTCCTAGTGTATGGATGTATTTTAGATGATTTATTTTTAAACTGTGTAATTATCTTGAATGCTGTGAAAGTTTCTTGAATCCAGAGTCAGATCTTTCCCACAGTGTTGCAATGTATGATGAAGTATACCACTTAGATTTCAATTCAAAGGTCCAGTCATGCAATTTAGATGAATAAGTTTTGATTTCGACTGTCTTAACATCAGGGATGCCTTATAAAAATCAGGTGATCTCAATTTTGTTCCGTGCTTGGATTAGATGTTGCTATGCAGAGGGAAACTTCTCAGAATTGTTTCTACGTGTGCACGTAGGGTTAAACACATTGCCTGCATTGTCTCGAGGCCAAAACTGAGATATGGAAAAAAACTTTACTTTCTCATTGTTTTTAAGTATCTGTGAGCTCCACTATCAAAAGCAGGGTCAAAACACATTTTTAAATGTTGGACTGGCAGAGTTGTAAACCTTTACAACAGAGTTATCATATAGAAATCCTTTGCTAATATCCTGTTAACACTTTACAGTGTTGAGTTTTTTTAAGTCCGTGGCATTTGTAGAAAAACAGTATCAACTTAAATCACTAAATTTTATCAGAAAGAAGATACTATAAAAATAGAGATTTTTTTTCTCTTGGAAAACTAGACCTTTGGTAAAAGTTTGTGGCTGATAGATACTTGGTATTGAAATCCTTCATTCATAGCAGTATATCTCAGCACAGATTAGCTGGAATATATTAGTTATTCTTCATTTTTAAAACATGTTCTTTGCTCTTTTTCTTGTAGGCGTATACGCGGGAGCCATTACCAGAGCAAATGACTGTTCGGTTATACAACGGAATGAAAAGTATTGGCTTGACTGGGAAATCATCTGGGCTGAGTGAACAGATTGCTAAGGAGCAGTTTGTAATTTTTATGTCAAACCTCTTAAAAGGGAATGCAGATGAGAAGATTACCATAATAATGAGAATGATCGCTAAGACAGAAGGGCCTGTGAAGGGCAAACAAATCCAAGAGGTAAACAGGCAGTTAAATGTATGTTTGGGGGACAGTAAGAGAACAGAGACGGATAGGTAATTTGAAGGTAACCTTTAGAACACAAGGTTCAGAACAGAGATTCCTGACTCTTGTATTTTTTTATTCTCTTTACCACTGATACTGATCTGGGACAAACAGTGTAGGCCAACCAGGTTATATGGGATGACCGTTTCAGCTGTCAGCTTTTCCATGCTGACTTGCCTACTTTGAGAACCAGGATCTGGATTTTGTGGAGTACACTGACTGATTTGTCTGATGGTTCACAGGCTCACTCTGAAGGGTGCAGAGACTGGCTGTATTTAAGAGCCAGCAAGGGTTGTGGTGTGGGTGGTGCTTCTGGGGATTGAGTAAAATGCTTTCTAGAGCTTTAGTTGCAGGATAGATGTGTGAATCAAATGCGTAGCTTGCAAGGTAGAAGAGCGGGATCTCACAAAACAGTAATTCACTGGCAGTTCCTACCACTCCAAAATTTGGACCTCCCCTCCCTCTTTCATGCCATATTTTATGGAGATGCTTTGTGAAGTAACATTGACAAAATGTCTTGAAAAAAGATACTTTTCAAGACCTATGACACTGACATAGCATTTCTGTTATTTCTGACTTGTCATGAAAAGAGAAGTTTCTGCCATTGGGATTGCAGCATCAATACTACTTGACTTTATTTTTAGAAAGTCCTTTGAAGCTCTTGGCAATTTTATTTAAGAAATGCCAAAATTGTGACGTTTTAACTTTTTAAGTTCACAGAGGATCTGATCATAAGTGTAGTCCATGTACTGAGCTACAGGAAGGAACTGAAAGGTTGGAATTTGGAGAATACTAGGGATTCTGCAAGTGGAGTAAAGGCTCTGGCTTCTCAGCTGCTATCAGAATTGAAGCTTGCAGGTAAGTAGCACTGATGTAGTGTATCCCAGAATGGCACAAAGCTCACGTAATCACTGATCTCACACGAATTTTTCACTTTGGGTCCCATCTTTGAATTTAAATGGTGAGACCAGTACTTCAAACCTAGTGCTTTGCAAATGACTTGGGAATTTTATTTATTTTACCTTACCGTCTTTCCCTCCTAAATTCAGGAGAGCTTTGGTTTGAAGTCCTGGTTTAAGTGGACATGCAAAACTATTTGTCATGGAACATGTCTGTTTTACAAATACCTGACTTCCGAGTGACAGGCATTTAGATGCACGTGCATGTATTTGTGACTGTACGTCCTTTTGCAAAGCATAGGTTTACCTTTGCACTGCTGTAATAATAGATTTTGCTGTCTTGCAAAGAACATCTCATAAGTTGTAACTAGGAGTCCCTGTTTCTTAATCATGACAGCCCAACCAATGGATGTCACAGGGAAATGTTTCTCAGTTCTGTGGATGCATCTGTTTAATGTTGTTGACACTTTACTGTTGCTGGCTCCTTTCATATGTGGTTTCATGTCCATTAAAATAATGGAATATTGTGTTTACACTTAAAAATCAACTGCTTATTTTCCAGACTGGGAGACTCACTACTGTTCCTGTGTGTCTTATCATTTAGATGGGACAAAACCTGTGGGTCCTCAGCTGATGGAGACAAATTTTGATCAGAGTGTCATTGAGGATTGGGTGTACCAAGTTCCACAGATCTCAATTTTCCTCAGTGTTGTTATCAGGCAAGGCCTCCATGTTCTGCATTCTCTCCCAGACCAAACCAAAGACATACTCAACCTGGTTCCAGGCTGCAAAGGCATCAAAGGAAGAGGACTTGTCAGTCTTTTCGACATCCCATCCATCATATACATCAACTCCCATCTGCCTGCAGAGCTACAGCACAAGTGGCAGCTTTTATTTTCTTCTAGGCTTCATGGAGAAAGCTTTTCACAGTTATGTGGGCATATAGTGAACAAAGGTCCTTGCGTGGTGATCTTAAAGGACGTAGATGGTTATATCTTTGGTGGGTTTGCATCTCACTCCTGGGAGGCGAAGCCACAGTTTCAAGGTAAAACTCACTTTTCTTCTGGTATCTCATGGCTCTGGTAAACATTGCCTATTCTGTACAGGTACAAGAATCCTGTCCACTTAATGGATACTGTCATTTTACTTTCATGGCACGCAGTATTTCTTATACTTCCAAGTGTATTTTCCTGTGGCAAAAATAACACTCATTTTTGAAAAATACATGCTAAGTTATTCCTGCTTTGTACCCAGTCAGGCATATTACTGATTAATGTTTCTAGTTTGTCTGTTATTTGATAAGACTTTTAAAACTGCAAGACTTACTGACCATGGAACAAGTTTTCTTTTCAGTGAAATCTATCAACCCTTGCAGCTGCATAGGTTGAAAATGAAATGAAAATGAAGGAAATATAGCATAGATGATGAATTAGAGTTTAAATAACATGTCCAGCAGATGGCAATCTTCCATCTCAGAACAGATGAGCCGAACACCAGGCTAAGCCTCCTGTTGCCATCTGTGCACTGTCTTGTCTTTGTTTCCCTTTTAAAATCCAGCAGCAAAAGGGTCCTTTGGACAAGCTAAACTTTGTGTTCCCTTGAAACCTCTGGGGAGAAGAGAGGGGTTTTTTGTAACTCTTTGGAAAGAACTTTTGTGATGGCTTTCCGAAAAAAAATTTTGGACTCTCTATAATCTGTCCTGCTGGGAATCCTCACATTTGCTACATTAAAAACTCAATTCCTATACTTAATTAGTATTTGATAATTACCACTTCAGTCAGTTAATATAATGTTATGTTACATTGATTACACAACACTTTCCTTGTATTTTTTCCTGATAGAATAACACACGTAGGGTACTAGACAATCACACTAAAGGTCCCTTTGAATACCAAACTGGGCATAATGAAAATTGTACTCTAAATCATTGACCCTAAACTGATCTATATATCAATATAGTCAGAATGAAGGGTGTCTGCACTCATATCAGTTTGTACAGATCTAGCGGTTGGCCAGTTTTAGATGATACAATGCAAGCCCGTGACAGGTGTACCCTTACAAAGTCATGTAATGTACTAGTCATGCCTCTAACTCTGCCCTTGGTCACAGCCGTATAATCGCATTGATTTCTGTGACCCTGCACAGAGTTAACTGAGAATAAACAATAGGTCTAGATCTTGATGAGAGGTAGGTATTGGCTTTCTGAGATTGCAGCTGCTGTCTCTGATTTATTCAGCTGCACTTCTTCAATATTTTTCTCCTGCCCTATTTGTAGGCGAGTTATTGCTTGGCCAGTTGTCTGACCTTAGATGCTTTTCTGTTTACAGGTGACAACAGATGCTTTCTGTTTTCTGTTTTCCCCTCTCTTGCTGTGTACACGTATACCGGGTACAATGACCACTACATGTATTTGAACCATGGCCAACAAACAATGCCAAATGGCCTTGTAAGTATTAAGAAATGACGATTTGGAAATTGGATTCGTGGCTGGTGTTCAGAAGTGTTTCATGGTTTTTGCTTCTGTTACTGTGAGCAGATTTATTTCACTTGTTATTCTCTGAGGAAGTTTTCATCCCTTCCCTATGCTATTTGTGCCACATTTTTAGTAGGAGAATTTTTTTTCTTTTTTTGCGTTAAAGCATCAGTGTAAAGTGTGAACTATGGATAATGATGTACCGCTTCAGTACTGATAGAGTCTATACTTTTCTTTAGAGAACCGCTTACAGTACTGATAGAGTCTATACTTTTCTTTACAGTTTGTATGTATATTGAAGTACTGATTCAACGAAGATGGAATTTATTTGTGTTTGACCCAAGTAGGTGGGCTTTATGTAGGTTAGATTCATGGAGGTTCTGGGGAGAAATCTTTTTGCCAAGTTTGGTTATCACGCAAGCCCTTCTAGCCGTCCTCCCTGTTGTCTGGAAGAATTGACTGCATGTATCCGCATCACTGAAGCAGCGCAAGCTAGCTGATCTGTGTAATTGAGGATCCTTCCACTGGCTGTTCTCACTGCCACGCTAACTGCTTTTCAAATTATGGAAGGCTGAGAAAGCCCAACAGAATTAGAGTACAAGAGTTGCATGTAGGCTGCTGCTGTTGTGTAATTACAGTGGCAGAAGCTCCTTTTACTCCACAAATGAGCTCTCCAGATGCAGAGGAGTTTCTACAGAGCTACAACACTGCCTATTTTGAAAAGTGCCGTACGGTTTTGTGGCATTATGTGCCCATAACTTTGGGAATTGCAGCAGTCTGGAGTAAATTTGCTCTAAAGAAAGCAAACAACATCAAAGTACATTATTTGTTTCTGTAGATACTTTTCTAAACGGAAGAGAGGCAGCAAAACCGAGCACTTCCACCCTGTTTAAAATGTTTCAATATTTTCACTGTTTAAAATGGAACTGTTAGTCAATAAACAAAACCCAGTGAGCTACATTTCTGACACAATAGACAGCTGAAGTGCTTGCAGATACTGGTATTCTGGAAAGCGTAGAGGGAGGGCAGTATCACTCAGGTAAATTCTTGTTTGTCTTCAGGAATACTGGATTTGGGTACAGAAGCACAGGTTCACTCAGACTACCCTTTTTCACCTACCCATAGAAGAGTGGCATAAATACTGAAAATAGCAATTTATACTCTTGGTTTCATAACTTGCCCAGTCTGTTTTACATGTGCAGCAAGTGTTTAGTGTGCTGCTTTGGTTCACAGGGTATGGGTGGACAACACGGTTACTTTGGACTCTGGGTAGACAGTGACTATGGGAAGGGACACAGTAAAGCAAAACCTCGATGTACCACCTACAACAGCCCCCAGCTGTCAGCTAAAGAGGATTTTACACTGGATGCCATGGAAGTTTGGGCAGTGGGAGACCTCCCTGAAAGTGCAGGGGTAGGTGAACAAAACTGAAACCTATGAAATTCTGTCCTGACTGGAACGGGAGATACAAATGCAAAGCTTGTAGTGGCAGTTTTCTGATTAAACACTGTCTCTCCGTTGTAATGAATAATGTTTTCTTTAACTGGCCCTGTGGTGCCATATATTTTGTAGCAAGTAAATGGCAAAACAGTAGTGGGATTATTGAGAGTGCCAACAAGAAATAACATCAGGAGCCATGAAATGATAGAGTCAGAAGAGCCGTACTTTATTCTGAATTTCGAAAGGCCTTTCTGATATTGAGGAATGGTCTCCAGAAGGAACCTCCTTGGAGGGGTTTATTTGTAAAACAGAAAGCAAGCACTGGAAGCTCACAAGTAAAGCCTAATCTAAAGCTCTACAAGTAAAGCTCAGGAAGAGAACCCAAAAGATTTCTTTATCAGTAACTTTAAATTTACTATAGTTTTACAGTAAATTTATGTCAATAGATTTATGCTAGTCTTTCTGCACCTGGTTTATTTCTGGGAATGAGTAGGAGACCTCTTTCCAGTCTCCTCTGTCCCTGTAATTTATTCTCTTACTAAACTGTCTGGTCTCCACATTTTGGTGTTTTGTTTTTTTTTTTAATTTTAATTTCTTTTCATACTAAATTCTTGTGCTCTGTCTGTTCAGAGGACACATAGCTCCAAATAGAAACAGAACAAATTGTTTACAAAAAATGTTGACTTGTACTTGAATCTCTTCTTTATAAAAAAGTTCACATCTCCACTTCAAGCTGAGGTCAGGTTAACCAGGATGTTCTGGCTGGCTTGTAACCTGAATAAACTTGAAATAGTTTACTGTCACCTTAGGAAAAGTTTATGACTATTTTGTGTAACTGCAGCAATAAAAATCATTTGATGTATCCCAGTGAATCTTAAATGCCTTAGTTGGAAAGTATATATGCTTCACTGCGACAAGCTTGCAAACCAGATTACTTGTGGACTTTTGAGTATGTCTCTTTCTTGTAGCCTGATATTGATTAATTCATAATGACATTTTAAATTGACTATATTTCATTTTGTTTTGAAGACAAAAGGTAAGAAGAGTATCCTGGATGTAGATCCTGAGGCTCGAGCCTTATTAGAAATGACTGGAAAAAGTCGTCAGAGCGAAGGTCTACGAGAACCCATTGAAGAAGATGATGATGATGATGATGATGATGATGATGATAACTAAAAGAATCACAGTAACATGAAAAACCTTTTCTTTTTTTTTGCTCTTGAGTGTTAATGTTCCTTGGACAGGATATTTTTTCCTCATTTTTTTTCCTTACATTTACCTAATTATCATACTTATGTAATATTTAGGTCCAATACAGTATCCTGCCTGAAGGGTTTTGTTTGGGGAGGACAGAAAAGTTAACTAGGTACTTAATCATTAGACACCTCTAAGTTCTAGCTGAGTATGAATTTGCTAGCATTCCTGATAGATCCTGTCTGCATACAGAATTAAAAACAAAAGATGAAGTTATTGACAGTACGGCTTACTGACTTGGAGAATTGATACGTATTTATAGAAAGACTGTTCAAGACACTGATTATGGCTCTTATACCTCAGCTGCACATATTTATTTGCATGCAATGAAATTAGTCAGCGAAGCTTGCAAATTGTAATGATGTCTTACATTGGTAAACATAGAATAGTCTACGTGATTCCATATGAAGGATGCTATTAATTTGCATTGCTCCAGTTAAAGCATTAAATTTCATGTTTTCTAAGTCAGATTGTCAGCAAGTGACTCTATATGGGCTGTAAAATGTCCAGAATGCTAAGTATACAGTATCCAGTTTTATAATACTACACTACACCTTAGTGCGTTTCACTTAAGAGGTTTCTGCAGAAATTTGCCTATTGCTTTTTAAACTTAGTAGAACAGAGCCAGTGGGAGTCATTCAGCCATATTTATCCTAAGAATGGGCCATACCTCCAGCAGAAATCCTCTAGGGAAGGTACCTTCTTTAGTAGCCTCACTTGAGACTGGAGTAAAAGATCAGGCTGTAAAAAGGATTAAGTAAGAAGCATGCACAGTTAATTGGGAATAGTATCTGCAGATACCTTATAAAAAAAACCCCAACAACCAGGGTTATGTCTGTAACGTTTAAAGAAGACTGCTGTATGCTTTATTTCCACACAGTTAATCATTACTGTATTATGGAAAAGCCCGCAGTGTGAAATGTAGCTAGTGGGTTGGGGGTTTTGCTCTGTTTTGTTGGCTGTTCACCAGTCAACGCCAGTTTTGTCAGGTCTCTTATACTCAGGGCTTTTTCTACTTGAATCCGTTCACATCTATCAGTAATTATTAGTTTGACCTTGCTAATTCTATGTATAATTAACTCGCCAAAAATAACCCTAATTTCTACCAGGGACTGTCATTTCTAACTCAGCAAATTGTGTTTGGTTATTAGTATGTATGATTGTCAGTCTTTCTCCTCCTAAGGAGGAGGACTGTATCAAGTCCCCTTTGTCCTAGCATGAGTTTGTCTTCCGTGCAGCTTAGAGCAAAAATGCTGTAACAGTATAAAATTACTGCGATTCCTGATCCTGTGGCCTTCCTTCAAATTCTTTCCCTTAGCGTTTTCTTGTATGTGGTCTTTTTTTTTTTTTCCACCTGATGTTTTTCATAGGGAGCCAGATTTGAATATTCTGAATAATCTGCACTTGTGCCTTAACATAGATCCCATTTTTAAAAATTTTATTAAACAATATGAATTTAGGCTTGAAAGGAGAGCATGAAGAAATCACTCCAGCCAGACATCCTAGAACTCAACTGTGCATTTTGTATACTACCTGAACTAATGATCGGGGCATATATGCTATTTGGTCCAGTAAAGAGTATGCTGTGAAAGACCTGAGCTAATGTCCTTTTCTCTTGTATTTGCTTAAATAAACCAGATAGTCTCCCAAGTTTGTAACACATAGAAAAAAATGTAAGTATTAAAACAATTACACTGATACTTTTGTATCATTTTCTTCTCTGTATATTTTAATAAGAATTTCAAATGGTACAAAGTAGGGAGTGCTATATAGACAGCAAGTAAGTTCATGATGCTCTCTCTATGTGTGGTGATGCTGGCTTTTGTTTTAACATTCTCCCCCCATAAGTCTCAGAGGTATTCTTCACTTAGGCGTTGACTAAGCGTGCTAAATACTTGAAGTGGGTGGCATACAGGAATGAGACAGTTGAATTTCTGCAGTTACACATAAAATAAACAACTAGACTTTCTTTTCCTTCCATTACAAGGCAGAGACCTTTCTTTGAGGACTGAAACCATTTGCAACGATTTTTAAAAAAATAGTGAGCAGACACCTTTGCAGACTCTATCTGGGGAGAGTGAATTGCACAAAGCTACTCTTCACCAAAAATATTTCAGTGGCCAAGTTTTCTTTGATTTCAAATAAATATCAGTATAGCTGGTTCTTTCTAGGCTATGAATCCAAAATGTAATCCTGTTTAAACATCATCTTGTGAAGATCAGCATAGCATTTTGACCTCTGAAATTGTGTTTTATGACAAGTTTATATTTGAGACTCTTCATCTTCACTTTGAAGTGAGGGTGTTAAGCTGGGGCAAGAAGAAAACTGACACTATGGCACTTTTACCAAATGTATCAGCGAAGCATTGTTTACTAGGAAACTACTGATCCAAGCAGCAGATGGGCTTATTCAAAATTGTTCTTTAAATGTAAAAGATTGGCTTGGAAGAGGCTCAACATTTTTTTTTCTGAATCTAATGATTAAGCAATCTGTGTTTCGTGTTCATGCATCTAAAAATGTCCAGAAAGCCTTTGTCAGCAGTGGGCTTAGCTATGATCTAAACATCTTTCAATCACTTTTATGCAGCTGTTGATCCAACTGCAAAGCTTAACATCCCTGGTACGTATGTGAGTCATCTTTATTCTCATGTGCTTGTGCAAGTGAGTCCCTTCCCCATTAAATCCATCCACTACTGTGCATCAGATCAGATCAGCCTTCTGCTTTGCTCCTATTAGTCATATAGGCACACAAAAATCACTGCGGTGTTCGGCAGAAGCTGACAGCCGAGGGGTGGCACTTCAGCTCGCTACTCTTTGTTTGGCATCTCCCCACAGATTCCTTGAGAGCCTTGCTGAATCAAGGCTAGATATCTGAGAATCTAGAAACACTATAGATTGACTACAGGAGAAGAAGTGCTAGTGAAAGCAGGTCTTTTCCATTCTTGTAATTTAATATAAAAGGATGGGTCTAAATCAAGAGTCTCGTTCAGATCTTTACCTGTAACATTTTAAAATGTAGATTTTATTAATAAAAATCATTTTGATTTAAATAAATACAATTTCAGTTTATGCACAATAGATTTTTCTGTACAGGTGTGAAACTGCTTTATTTTGTCTAGGACTGTCACAGCATTCTTGACATATAGATCAATGTTATAAAAATATACCTGATCTTGGTTTAAAACAGGAGCCGCTCCAGAGGTTTCTGTAGGCAGCTCAAACCGCTCAGGTAGAGCATGTAGAAGGAACAGACTCTGGAGTAGGAAGGACTGTCGGTACAGATTCACTTGAGTATCTTCAGAAAGGATGTGTGGCGTCAGAAACCGGTGCTTTTGAATTATCCAGCATCACAGCTCCGTTCCAAGTGTATCTTTAGAGGAAGTTTGCATCAGTTATGACACCCCTTTGTGTGCTTCGGTCGGCGGCAGCAGCGTTTTTCACAGAGTTTGACAAACTCGGACACAATGAAAACTGAGGAAGCCAGTCCGGTCAGAAACAGCAGGTCTGCCGAGAGGAAACAGAGCGGAGATGAACACAGTGGAGAGCTGGATTTTGCGCCGGGCAGGAATCCCCAGTTAAGGGCCTTCCTGCAGTGGGTATTTGTGCTGGTGTAACTCCATAGATGTATGGCCTAGCTATGCTTTTGCTAGCTGTAGAATTAGAGAAATGACTGCGATAGACTAGGAATACCCATACACTCAGTTGGTATAGTCCACTTGACGGGTGGTAACCTCTGCGTTAATCATTTGGGATCCTTGAGCCCTGCTTCTAACAACATGCCCAATGGAGATGCAATACAGTGTAGTGTGGCAGAGTTTGCTTGGACTGATTCAAATGGTAAAATATGCATTGCATTTCAGCTAGGAAACATTCACCCTGCTTTTCCCAAATGGAGTGATTGCATAATGATCCTAGATTTATGTAGAGAAATATCATCATACGGAGCTTGTGGAAAATCTTGGCATGTCTCCATTTACATGCATTTATGTGCAGTAAATCAAAATTCAAAACCTAGACTGGGATATTATCATTAAATACTACTGCTATTTGTGCATACCTATGTGTACATATATAGGTACAGGAGCTGTTGATTGATTTCCCCTGCCAGCAATCTGTTGGGAACTGTCATGTACAATTTGGCAATCGCATCTGCTTTTTAAAGTAGCTTTAATGAAAAAAAACACATTATTTATTTTGCAACTTACCTAGCACTCCCAAATTCTCTGTCTGGAAGATCTTCTGTAATGGAGGGACGTATATAACAGCCAGCTGTCCCAAAAATGACCCAAGGACAGAATACAAGAACATGCGGTTTCGAAAAAAGCCTATTTCAAATATCAGCTTTGTCTAGAGAAGGGGAAAAAAAAAAAGAGAAATGTAACATTTCCCAATCTCCTGTTGGTACTTGAATGTTACGCTGTTTCTTTGCATGCAAATGCCATTATTTTTTGAAGTTACATGAATGCCAACTTAGGCAGAGCTACATAGTTGAAAGTGTAGTTGCAGTTGAACTATGATGGATAACTTCATTTATAAAGGTGATAAAAATTGTGCGGCTTTAAATGACATTAAAGAAACCCCTTCCTATGCAAAATACTAGTATTCTGATGTTTATGTTAGTGTTTTGAGACAAGAAATTACTGCTGACAGAGCGATCTCACCTGAGAGCGGCATGTCAGGGCATTGAAGAGGTCAAAAAACACAAAACAGGTAAAAGTCATTGTTGTGGTTCGAGGAGTTATGCCACTTTTTGGATTCTGAAAGCACACGTAAAAATTCAGGGGTCAGTTAAGCCTTACAAAAATATGTCAATTCAACAGACAAACTAAATATTCCCTTTAATGACCCCAGTCGATTTGAAGGGTAGTAAAACAAAGGAATAAATCTAGTTCTAACCATTATAGATAGCATTAATTTCTCTCTGCTAATGGCTGAGTTTATGATCTTAACCATGTTTTGAATTCTTAAACTGATGTGGAATTTGACTGAAGAATATTGTAAATTAATTGACTTAAACTGCTACAGTAACAGTCACTATTTACTAACAGCGATTCATAGTACTTAGGTACTTGGCATTTTCTACTTACATGGAAAGCTAGAGGTGAAAAGTACCTTAAAGCATTGAAATCATATCAAGTAATAGTTTTCCCACTCTAGATAGGAAGCTCCAAATCAGGGGCAACACAGGAATGCAGAAGCAGAGCTAGGAGCTGGCCCTGGTTTCTTAACCCTCTGCCCGTCCTGATCCTTCCCCACGGGATGTATTTCAGAAAGTCCTTCGCATGTACTTCAGAAATTGCCCTTCACTTTGTTTTCCACCCTGATGAAAACAAGATACGATTGCAGATTTCCCTCACCTCCTTCCAGAAGACAAAGAGGGTTCCACTGATGATAATTATAGCTGACATGAAGATTTTCAGGATCAATGATTTGCTGAGTATAGAATCCGTGATACGTCGGGGTGGCTGTTTGATAGTATCCCTATCAACAGGTTCAACTCCCAAGCTGCCTCAAAGAGAAGCAGAGGGACGTGTTTAGTTCATGCGGATCATCCCGAAACGGTACTGTTGATAAAACAGGGTGGATGTGGAGGATGAAATTCTCTGAAGTACGGTGTGAGAGATCAGTGTTCTGGCAGGATTACGTAAGGCCCCAGGTTTGTCTGAAACACCTACGCCAAAGGTCTTTTTTGCATAATGAGCTGCTAAAATGATGTATTAGACTACCGTAGTACATCATATCAGTGTCCCATCCCAGAGGGAGAGCTAGCTGTGAGATGGTGGACAACATCTCTTCTACATTGTGGAAGTACTAA